TTCATCTTCAATTATTGGCTATTGTCTTAGGCGTCACTGATACATGGCCTAGTCGCATTGGCCTTCAGTTAGCAGTATATGCGCCCCGGCTAATCAGTAATCACTGCTAATCAAAAATGTTGGCCTGGTGTTGGGAAAAAATTGGCCTCTTTAATTGCTTGCACAACCTTAAAAAAAAACTAAAATGGCGCCCCTGTTTATATTATAATGACAATTGACAGTATCTATTATAATATAATAAATGTAATTTACTACCTTTATTGTTTCATCACAACAAATCATTGCTTTTTCCTAACCATAATTCTGGTTATTTGGAATTTTGGTTATAAATATGTGTAATCGAAGAAAAAAAATCTACTTGATAAGAACTGATATCGGTGATAACTGATAATATTGAAATATTGAATAATATTAATTTAAATAATTATTAAGATTAAATGTATAAGTTACAACGAACTATAAAAATTATTATTTAATACAGTAAGTTGCTCAAACCTAATAAATTTAAAATGGGTAACGATAGTAAAGGTCGGGCGACGACAAAACAAATGTTTTGCCTTAATGAGTTTTTGAAACAAGACTTACAATTACTAAGTGGTAAATTTAGCTCCACATTTACTTTTAAAATAGCTCAAAAACGTTGGGAATTAATCTTTAGTTTTTTCATGACTACGAGATCCTATTAGTTTTTCTTACACTACACATTAGGTACTATTGTATTGTAAACTTGTCTAAATCGCATTTTCAATACTCCGTTGCATCTTTCAATTACACTACGAGTTGCCATTTACATTTTATTGTAGAAATGTTCTTCTTCAGTGATTGGTTCAGCAATAGGAGTCAGTAACCAAGGTCTCAGTGCATACCCCGAATCTCCTAATTATTGTTCAAATTTAAAGAAAATTATGTTATATTTCAATTGTACAATTATTGAATGGTAGCCTTTACGGTTAACATAAATGTATTCTGGATACGCATTTGAGGGATCTTTGTTTGGTGGCACTATAGCCACGTGAGTGCAATCTATGCAACCTATGCATCCTTGAAAACCCGTTTTCTCATAAAATCTAAAATTGTATAAATTATGTACATTATTCCAGAAGAAATTCCACAATAATGTTACAAAATATTGTGTGTTAAAATAAATATAAATTTATTATTATACACATACTATATAATATTAGTATCAACAAAATGTGAACATCGAATAGATAGGTACATACTCATTTCGAACTGTTCGTAATTTTGTTAAATTACTTGGAAAATGTACCCATTTACTAAAAATACTTTCATCATTTAATGCAGTAGTCACTTGTTCCAAACATCTAGATACTGAACTTTGTGATACAAAAGAAAATCTACTATTACCAACTGGAGTTTGGTAACTTCCAGTGGCATAAAAATTTAAGGATACCAAAACCTAAAAAATAAATATTAGACATAAACTTGGTAACAATTTTTTTTAGATTAGGTACTGGTTAAATATAATTGCATAAATAAGTATTAAGTTTTTAATTTTTTAATTTAGAAGACCACATTGGTATCTATAAGAAATATAATTTTGAGTACCTACTTAAAATAATACTTTACTATAATATACAATTATTTTCACTATGGAATAAATTTAAAATTTCATATGCTCAAGTATTTAAAAATTTTAATTTATATGATACAAAATATTATATTTATATCAAAAGGTAAAAAAAAAATTGTTCAACTGTGATATATTATGTAGATGGTTAAGAACTCAATTAAATAACTTACTTTGATGTCACATCTAAGTCAGATGATCTATTTTGTAATAAAATCAGTGGACTTAATTCTACAATTAAGTCCTTAACTAATTATTTAGAAAGCCTATAATTTTTTATGAAGGCCGAGTTTGAAAGGTTAAAAGCATCAGAAACAAACATTTCTCTTCTTGGTCTTGGCTGTGGTTGAAAATTCATTTAATTTTGTACATTTTCAATAACAAACAAATTTTCTATGTCATTAAAATTAGCCGTTTTATAGATCTATAATAAATTGTAATTTTGTAATTGTACTACATATGTAATGGAAAAAAAATAACGAAACTTGATTCGTAGCAATATAATATAATAAAGATGAGATGTGATTAAAAAAAATGGTTCATACGGATTTCACTTATGTCGTATTATACTCGTATACGACAACTGAATGGTGAGTGGTTAGACCCACAATTTTAGAAGGCGCATGACTTTTCATACGCTCATCAATCGTGCGAAATTCTAGAATAGGGATTATCGAATCTCATTCGACAACGTCTAATTGTCGTATACGACTTATATATAATTCCGTTCAAGAATCAACCCCCAGAGCCCCTACATTCCTAAACCCAGCCCTGCCTACCGGTATCGTTTTCAGTAATAGACATAAATTAAAAATACACATGTTATTTCCAGTTTTCTTTTCATGAAAATAAAGTAAAATAAAGATTTTCTATTCTTATTTATTTGTATCAGATAGCTCATGGTATAACAATTTAAATTGCATTTCATTATTAATTTTAACCCCGGTTTTTGAGTTGAAATCGGTTTTAAATTTTCTCCAGGTTTTGTTTTCGGGTGAAAACTGAGTTCATATATTTGCCGGGTTTCGGTTTTCGGTTCGTAACTGATTTCATATTTTTCCCGGATACCTCGGATTTCAAAACTGAGTTGTAACCTGTTTTGATTCCCTGGTTCTTTGTGTTTAGTTTTTATCAAAATATTCACGTTACGCGGTGGCGAAACCGGGAAAAAATCTAAAGGGGCAAAATAATTTATTAACCCTGATCAAAATCCTAAGCCCCCTGTTTTAAATATATTTGTAATACATATAGATGGGAGCTCGGTAAATTTACCTGGTAAATTTTACCAATATTTTTTTTACCCGGTAAATATTTTTTACCGTTCTATCCGTTAAATCGAGTGATCATTTATTTTTAATGTTTTCATGTGCACATTAACATTTAGCGAAATTTGATTTTTGCAGCTAATTTTACATGTATTCAAAAAGCTAAAAACATCAAATGTTCCCCCAAATTTCCAGTAAAAACCAGATAAGGATCATTCATAAAATGTTTAGAAAGTCTTAAAAAAAATAAAAGCACACTACAGAATTTGGCAGTTTCTGATCATATAAATGTTAGTAAATTGAAAAAATATTTAAATTTATTATAAAAATATACTGTCCATATTTATTATTATAATAGATTATTAGGTATTATATTATTATTTACGATAGAAAAGTTAGATAAAACAGTGAAACGCAAGACTAGATATACCAATATTGGAACTATGTTAGACATTTTTATCACTCTTGTTCGTCCAATAATTAATTGGATTACAATTCTTGAGAGTTATACGCCAAGACTTTCTTTAGTACCAGAGGATTTGAATGAAATCAAACAACATTTTATAACTCCTATTCCAATTTCCCCATTACCTACTTGAAGTGGAAGGAATAATGCTGCTAAAAAAGATTGATGAACATTATAACATGGCTATACATCCAATCCATTTGCATATTTTATTCATCATACTACTCATACATATACATATTTAAATATAATACTTGAGCTTAAGTGTGGACAAATGTCCAGTGGTAGTATGAGTAGCCGAATTATAAATGTGTTATTATGGTCATAATAAATTAGTAAAAAAAAAATATACACTATTATAAAAATTTACATATATTTCCGTAAATTTACCGAAATTTTTTTTACGGTAAAATTCCCATCATTGGTATTGCATGTATTTTATACACTATACAGAATACCTGAAAAATGTATTAAAAATTGAAGAAATACTCACTGCTTTGGGCGTCAGTAGACTTTTTAAATTTTGATGAGATAAATTTGAACAATGTCAATTGACGTTTATTAGACATTTTTTTAAGGTGTAATTAATAATTATTAACAAATTACAGTAGAGGAATAAATAATTAAAGAACAATAGAACAGTATAGTCTATAGACTTGCAATAAAACACTAAAGCACACAATCACAGCACAATGTAATGTGGAATTAGATATGTAAGTATAGTAAAATAATCAAGACAAAATAATATTTTATTAGTTGTGGTTATTGCAATTTGTTATTGATCTAAAAATAACCTCTTGTTCCTGTAGTCATAATCACGATTTCAAGATAATAATATTAAATTATAAAATATTAATTAGTAATTACAATATATATTATAAATATTAATAAACCATAGACATATAAAATCAATATATTGTTTATATATGACTATAGTTCATACTTCATGCAATGAAAATATTATTAGGTATCAGATTATTTTTGGTTCTAATCTAACTTATGTGATTATTGCAATAACATTTACAAGATAAATTTAAAATAAAAACTTTTATACAATTATTTGAATTATCTTATAATATATTACATTATTTCTTAACTTATGATAATTCAAATATTTGTATTGTTGGATTGTCTAGAAGGGCAAAATAATACTTTTGGCCCTCTCAAAATTATCAAGGGGCATTTGCCCCCTCCTCACAATTACCAGCAGATGGTAAAATATTTAAAATATGAAAAAGAAAATACACAATTACATATTTTTATATTCAACTGACTTTTTTTATGATATAGTTCAGTAAAAATAAATCAGTCAGTAATTTTTTTTTATTCAAACCAACACCGTGCATTGGTATCGTAAAAGAAACACGTCGTAGTCGAAACGAAACTTATATTATTTCAATCGTTTGTTTACATCACTTTATTAAAACTACCATTGATAGACATTTTTATTTAAATAGTATTTATAATCAATTATACTATACAGGTAAATAATTTTTGTGGTGTGGAATGAAATTTGTATTTTCCGGTCTTTCTTAACACGTCTATCTACAACCTCTTTGGTGGCGTGTCGGTTCGGTCCGCAGCGGTGGCATATCGCAGTCGTCGTGTTGTCGTTGCGGGTCCCGCGAACGGGTCAGCCTGGCCATTTTGGATTCTCTCCCGACAACCAACGACCGACGTCGCCGCCCGGTAGCGAACACACACACGTACGCACTCGCAGGCGCCAAAGCAAACACACAGATACGAGCGCACCTTTTACGCGATATTGTGTATGTGTGTGTGTGTGTGTGTGTGCAAACGGAATACGTATAAACGTATAGTTACTTTTTCTCAACCCGTGTGCTCGGTGTACACGCGCGCACCATCGTCTCGTTTACACACTTACTCGGGTAGTAGTATACGGTTAAACTAAACACACACACAAATACACGCATACACACACACATACACATACACACACACACACACACACTCACACACATACACACATTTCCATCGGTCTTCTTACGCGATAAGTTGTAAAAAAAAGGTGAAAAGAAATTTGTTTGCATAAATTTCATCTCGACGATTTTGTTGCGCACGCTCGCCGTCGTCAGGGCCTAGCGGAAGGAAATTTTCGAAAAATTCGCTTAAAACCGAATACAGAATTTTGTGCGTCCGTTTAGAAACCTACACGCATAAACGTGCGCGTACACCACGCCACCGCTACGTTTGTCGCCGCCTCCGCCTTCGCCACAGTTGCCTATCGTCGAAACAACGGTTTACTTTTGGGCCACCGCCGCCGTATGCAGAACATGCTAACGGCGTTTAGCTAAGCATTACAGACGCGGCCGTCTTCGAAAAATGTTATAGCAGGTATGTGGGGCTCGTGTTTAATAGATTTTTCAATTATATATTATTATTATTATTTACGCACCGAAAATGTTACCCGTTCGCGGTCGCGATATAAATTAATAGTGCAAACACTCCTTAGCCGCCGCTGCGTCAATCGCGATACATACGCGGCCGCACAGCACATTCGGTGCAGTACGTCATTACGCGTTTCCCTTGGCGGCCAAACTGTAAACGCGGCGGCTTTCGATCCATCGCCGTTGTCCGCTGTAGTGGGTCCGTACGTTTGATAATAAAATAATACCGAAAATTCCAAACGTCGTGGTCGTCGCCCTTATCCCATCATCACCTATCTCTTCTTGACCCGTTGCGTATCACATGCTGAAAATCACACAACCCATGGATTTACATGCGTTTCGTTCAGCTGTGGTTTGTGCGAATACGTTCTAGACCGACATTCTGCGGGCTCACATCTTTCGTTTCACTCATCAAAGGTAATAATAATAATAATAATAATTATTATTATTATTATTATTATTATATTTTGTAACAGATTTACATTTAACTGTATTTTTATTATTATTATTCGTGCATTATCACCGAATAACCTAAAAAATATCTTGAATGCTTGAACCATAAGTTCATGTAGTGTTGTGTTCCTCTTGTGTACTTGCAGAACCCTGTGATCCAATGTAATAGGATATCCCAAATATTGAATAAATGTGTTTTAAGAAACCTGTGCCTTATCTGATAATTGTATATTGTTTTTGTTTTCTCGACTAATCATTGCTATAGACACTGGCTGCGTGTTAAGTACGACTAGAACAAAGTTTTGGACAGTTGTTAATAATCAAACAACCGTCAGGTTAATTTATCAAATGGCGTTGCCAAGTCGAGCGCGAGTTTATGCTGATGTCAATTCTCACAAACCCAGAGAATATTGGGATTACGAATCGTACACAGTTGAATGGGGGTAAGTGTTGATTTTTTATCTTTAGAATAGAAGAAACTGTTAATAACAATTTTTATTGAATCATTTAATTTTATTTTATTTTATAAGTTTTGTTAATGGATTATTTGTTTACAATAATAATAGTTTAAAAGATTTATTTTCATATGCTGATTAATTTTATTAGTCAGTGTTCTAAATGGTTTACCATTTAAATCATATTTTCAATATAGGTATATATATACTTTCTTTATTTAATTTTCCTATGAAGTGTATGTTTTTTGTTAATTTTTTGCTTACTATGTTAATATAATTGTTTCTATTCGACACAGTTTATTATCACATATAAATTCATAATACATTTTATAATTTAAAATTGAATAAACTATAGAAATAATTTTGTTATGATTTAATAATTATTATTTTTATTCAGTCTTATATTTAGGTATATAATTAAAAAAATTGGTTAAAATATCTTTAGTATTATTGTTAATGGTTTTTAGGTTTTAGTACAAAATATTAGTACATATTAAACAATAAATGTTAAATATAATCCAGTTTCAATGATACTTTATAATATATTTATGTGTATATTAAAAGATTTTAAATTTTTTTATTTTTTTTTTTGTTTTGCCTTTGTTAGAATAACAGAAAAGCAATTAAATAGATTTTAAATTTGATTTTATAAATTTAATGTATTAAATGTATTAGTGTCAATATTTTCGTTTTTATTTTAGTTAATTTATTTCTTATAATTTTTAATATGGATGTACAGTTAAAATAATAATCTGTTTTAATAATTATAAATCATTAATTGTATTAGTCTTGATATAAAAATAAATTTTTACCTGTATAGTAAATATAATAATTTTTCACCAATTATTTTGTTTTAGACAACAAGATGACTATCAATTGGTACGAAAACTTGGAAGAGGTAAATACAGTGAAGTATTTGAAGCAATTGATGTAACGAATAGTGAAAAATGTGTTGTGAAAATATTAAAAGTAATTCCATCAATATATTATGTTAATGATTTATACGTTTATTATTTATCTATTCAAAATTTAAATTTTAAATGTAGTGTTTCATAAATTAAAATAAATTATTTTTTTAGCCGGTAAAGAAAAAGAAAATCAAAAGAGAAATTAAAATCCTCGAAAATTTGAGAGGAGGTACCAACATTATATCGCTGCAAGCAGTGGTAAAAGATCCTGTATCTCGTACTCCTGCTCTTATTTTTGAGCATGTTAACAATATGGACTTTAAACAACTTTACCAGACATTGAATGACTATGACATTCGATTTTATCTCTACGAGTTGCTCAAGGTATTTAATTTTTTGAAAATATACACCACCAGTGCCCAACTGGTTACAATAAATATATTACCCATGTATAACAGAAATTAAATATAAATTATGACTCAATTTTTTTTAGTTACAAAATCATATTTTTTATTTGACTTGTCAATGAGTACAATTTAGGTATCTAATTTAATGTATGCATTTATATTACATGCCAATTAACTTAATATTATTAAGTAATAATGACCTTGTGTACTTTATGTTAACTTATGAAGTTAATTATTTAATACTAAAAATTATCAATGTAACCTTCTAAAAATCCTGTGACATTAACAATAAATGTTAGTCATTCATTTGTGAATAATTAATTTCATGTTTCATGTTAGTATTTTGAGTACAACTAAAATATTCTTTGAGGTTGTTAGTTGAAACCGATTAAAAGTATTCTAAGAAAGTAGTATTTAATTATTCAGTTTAGAAATTATTTTATCAATATACTCCTAAATGTTGCTACATTTTAAGATAAGATTTTTTATTCATATCCACATATTTTTAGGGGAAGAAGTTATTTCAATTTAATTCATTATTTATTAAATGTAATTGTGATTATCCATGTTACTAATTGTTTACTATCCCGAATTTAAAAATATATATTAGTAATGATTAATTTATAAATATTAATTTAATTAATATATTTAAGTAATTATTAATAATAACAAATATACATTAAAAAAAAAAATTATATTCATAATATTTTTATTTAACTAAATTTTATGCTTTAAAGTTTTATGTGTTTTTTCTGTAGGCATTGGATTACTGCCATAGTATGGGCATCATGCATCGTGATGTAAAACCACACAATGTTATGATTGACCATGAAAACAGAAAATTGCGTTTAATTGATTGGGGTTTAGCAGAGTTTTATCATCCTGGACAGGAATACAATGTCCGGGTTGCTTCTAGGTATTTCAAGGGTCCAGAGTTACTTGCTGATTATCAGGTTCTATATTTTATATGTTGTTTTTTAATAACTATTTTTAATTCATTTTTTTTTTTTAGATGTATGATTATTCATTAGATATGTGGTCACTAGGCTGCATGTTGGCTAGTATGATATTCAGAAAAGAACCATTCTTCCATGGGCATGATAATTATGATCAACTTGTACGTATTGCTAAGGTTCTAGGAACAGAAGAATTATTTGAATATTTAGACAAATATCACGTCGAATTGGATCCAAGATTTTCTGATATTTTAGGAAGGTAATAAAGATCACTGATTATATAACCATCTAAATTATGTAATTAATTATTATATAATTATTTTATAAATTTATTTTAATATAAGTTATTTTATGGCTACATGAAATTTAATTTGAATTAATTATTTTTAGACATTCAAGAAAACGGTGGGAGCGTTTTGTGCATAGTGAAAATCAACACCTTGTAACACCAGAAGCTTTAGATTTCTTAGATAAACTCTTACGTTATGATCATTTTGAACGGTTGACTGCTAGAGAAGCAATGGATCATCCATATTTTTGTAAGTGTTTCATTTCAGTTTTAAAATTATTTTTAAGTAAGAATGATGATTGTTTATAACATGATTTTTTTTTTATTTATGGACTATGAAATTCTAAAGAAATTTATGAGTTTCGTGTGTTAATAAATATAGAGAACATGATTTTTTTTTAAAGTTTTCAATCTGACTAAGATATTTTGTTATTTATATTTTCTATAAGACTATTAGTTAATTAACTATTTATTATACATTAATGTTATTTCAATATTAAAATAATAAACTAATAAATATTATTTGAACCTCAAATGTTTAGTTACTTAATTTGTATCAGAGGCAATATAGTTGATGTTTAGGAATTAGAATTAATTATTAAAAATATTATCACATTCCAACAAAGGAATTTTCAATTTAAGCATTATCTTCTTTAAATTTTAAATCAAGTAATTTTGAAAACTGATGAAAAAATCAATTTCATTTTTTTTTTTTTTTTAATTAACTGAATTTCACTAAATTCATCTAAAAAATTAGAATAGTCTAATTCTACTCATAATCAGATCTGTTTTTTTAATTATCATTATACTATAAGATCTTATAATTTTTTAAATATTATAAATTACTCGTAAAATTTTACTCTATTTTAGAAAATATTCTTATGAGATCACAAATTAGTGTTTCCTATCCTTCTTTTAAGTTCAAAATTATTTATATTATATATTTTATAAATATATCTTATCTTATAAATTAAATTCTTGATTATCATTCATATTTGTTTAAACATTTATTTGAATTTGGATCAATATGTTTAGTATTTTATAAATCATCGAATACATTGAATTAGGTAGGATTACTTTAAAATAAATAATAGATACCTGTTATAGTGAATGTTTATAGAATTCCATCAAAATCTATTGACTGGAGTGTTAGAAATTAAATTTTATAAACAACTTTTTACTTTGCGTGTTTTATTATCCGATACAAATCTGAATAAAAATTAAGTTTTAAATTTGTTATTAGGAAAAGTTTGCTTTTCACTATCTAATTTTATTTTAAAATAAAATTTATTTTTTAATTGATAAATTGTTTTAGTCATTTTTAATACATTTTAGTCAGTATCATTAATTAATGATTATTCTCTCTGTCAAATAATATTACTTGTTCTTTATTTTATTAAGCTTTTGCATTTTATTTTAGATTAATTCTTTATATTAGGTTATGAATGTACAACAACTTGAGATTACAAAATATTTTTTAAATAAATAATGTACCTTTGTTTTCTATTTCTTCTAATCATTGATTTATATTTTAAAAGTTATATTATTAATTAATAATAAAAGTTTTAATACTAACTCAATTCATCAAGTTTAAGTAATGGATTTAAATTAAACACAATATTCAAGTTAACTATTATAACCTAATTTTTTAAATTATCTAAGAATACCATTATTGTGCAGAATTTAAAATGATAGAATTATAATTTTGTGTGGTAAACTAATCAAGAATAATATAAATGTTGAGTAAACATGGTATTAATATATAAATATTTGATTAACAAATAAGTTTACTGTTATCCATTTGTATTGCTTTTTCTGTTGTGCAGATGTAGTTATTCTTAAAAAATCTATGGGAACACAGAGAAATATTTTTTCAATTATATATATATTAATGTATATTAATATATTTATAAATTAATTTGTTATTGTTCTGTAACAATAGATAAGGTAATCCAAGTACAATTTTTTTTTTGTATCTCATTTCTACTCAAAAACAATTCCAACAAAATTATTTGATATCCATGTTTGTAGCATTAAAATATTTTTGTTTTATTTAACCATAATAATTGTGCAAAATGTATATGAAAAATATTTATTTTTATTTTTAAATTATGTTTTTAGATCCAGTAGTAAAGGAGCAGTCTCGAATTAATTTGAGCACATCGTCTGTATCACCAACACCAATTACAGGTACTTAAAAATTAATAAAATAATGTAGTATTAATCTAACTATTTACCATTGACATTTTGTAAAATACTTTTCTGAAATTATTCATGTTCAGTATAAAGTTATCCAATATTTGTTTTGTATAGAAAGTTTAAATCTTTTGTACCAAAAACTATTTTAATCCATGAACATGTATGTATTAAATTAATTATTTATTTTAAATATTATAATATTATATTATGAGTATGTTTTAATTAGATTTTTTTTTTTATGTTAATTCAATTAAAAGAAAAAAATCTGGTTGACTGACAAATTTTTAACTAATAAATAAACAAAATTGATTTTACTTTAATGTTGATCATTTTTCTCAGCATCCTTACGCTATATAATTAACAAAAAACAGTTGAATTCTGAATGAAATTTTTTTTTTTTTTGTAATTGTATTAATTACAAATAAGTGTATATAATGTCTACTTCCACTGTTAATTAATGTTTTCCATGTATATTTTAGATTGTAAGTTTTTGATTTCATAATTATCTTGAAATATGTGATATTTTTATATACTATATTTAATTATTAAATTAAGGTGTTCTGTATTTCAAGTATATTGTGTTTCTTATTAATGACCTTCTGATTTTGAAATAAGAAAGGTTAATTTTTTCAAAGAGTAAACAATTATCTAAAAATAAGAATTGTAAAATCATGGAGTGCCTACATTTTTAACAATATTTACATGAAGGTGGTCATTTTATATATTTTATGTAACTGCCATATTATATTTTTTAAATATAAACTTGAAATAATTGTAGCCATATTATTACTATTAAATATAACATTAATGAACTATGCTAAAATATAATATGTACATAAATATATAAATTTCATGGTTAAATAACTTTTAAAGCAATATTAATTTGATTTATAATGCAAAATTCCTATTTTACTACAGATGGTTAATCAACAAAATCTTTATCATATATAGTTTTTTTAATATCAATATAATTATAATTAAAATTTAACCGTTCAATCTTAATTTGGATTTAGGACCTAAAAAGATTTTTTTATAGTTAAGTCTGTTTGTTATCCTCTTATATTGAATTTAAGTGTTGAAGACATGATTAAAGTGCTTATTATTAAAAATATTATAATTTCTAGTTATAATAGCATCAGATATTTTAAATACCAAATATCTTTAAGATTATTATTTGTATTCTTAGTTATAATATTTTAAGACTTTCATTTGTTTAAATGTATGAAATTAAAGTTTAACATAATAATTACTATTTTAATTTGTTATTTAAAATATATTTAAAAAAAAAAAAAATTGAAAACTTTTTATTCTGTAAAAGCATGGTTGCTAATTTGGTATTCTGAGAAATGTTTCAGTATTATAATACTTTATTGTACGTTCTATTTTTGATTTCTAATAGAAAATTAAAGTAATATTTTTGCTATAATAGTACTTCTTCACAGAGAGTTGATTTTTTACTTTAAATTTTTATGAAACAATATGTTTCAATATTATATATTTATACTTGAAAGGATGGAAAAAAAGAATTGGTTTTCTGAAATAAATTAAATAACTACTATGTAAATTTAAGTATTTAATGAAAAAAAAGTGACAATGTGATATACTTAGTTATTTGGGAACCCATTAGACAAAAATTAGGTATGGTAATTATTAATTAATTAATAAATTAAAATATAGGTATATAATTTAGTGTACATGTTACATTTTTTTAATAATTTCTATAAAAAATAAACAAATTTTATTCATGGATCAAAATGTTATCTTTTTAGAAAAACAATAACTATATAATAACAAAAATGAATTAATAAAAATAAAATAATATATATTATATATGTTGTAAACCAATTAATTTTTAACAATTATAATTATTACTTATATTCTTTAGTGCTATTTTAATTTATGAAATATACTAATTTTGGTATAGTGTTAACATGTTGGTTATAAATATCATACTTTTTTTTTTCAGCTGGTGGGAACGGAATAACCTCTCCAAATGCTGTTGGCGTTCTACAGTGAGTTCCTCTATGAGACAATGCTGCTTTTTTGCTTTTGGACAAAGTTAATAAAAAAACAAAAAAAAAAATCAACACCTTTTTCTCAGGAATATCACACAGAAACATAATTGTTTTTTTATTTTTTACTTGTATTATTTCTATTAAAAAAAAAGGTTATTATTTAATGTTTAGGTTTTTTATGTATAAAACAGTAATATTTTTCGTGCTGTAATTGTGCAAAAAATGTTTTTGTTGTACATAGCCCCAACTACCCCTTTATAAATGAAAAAACTAAATTGAAAGAAATTTTGAATTTCTTTTTTAATTAAGTTCAGCAGACATTAACAATTAAAAAGTACTAGCCAATCAGCTCTTTTATGTAATTTATTTATATAACACAATGTGTTTGTTGCCTTGTTACATTAAAATATATATATATTACAAATATATATTTTACAAAGTGAATAATGTAAATAGCTATGATTATAACAATAAATTACGTTTAAAAAAAAATAAAAATTAAAAAAATCCTTTTTTATTTATTTGGTTGATAGTTATTATTTAATTTTAATTTTTAGATTTAAATGTTTAAATTATTTTTCATGTACTTTATGTAGTTTTTGTATTAAAAAAATAAAATACCAAATGTTCACAGGTACTAATCAGAAATTTCTTTAACATTAAAGGACATAGATTAATGTTTTTTCCTAAGATACTGAGAATATGTTTTTTTTGCAACCAAATATATTTGTGGTCTTTATATTTTTAATGCCACATCATGTTTTTGTTTTTCAAAATAAAATAAACCAAATATATGTTGTATATTAATTTTTGTATACTTAAATATATTGAATTGTCCTATAAGAGTTAATTTAAAATTTTGCTTAAAATGCAAAATCTTATTGAGAATATTAATTGTTATTTTTCTTAAAATCATCTCAACAAAATTGTAATTAACTGTGTTGTTTATTTATATAGTGCAGTTTGTGTCAAAATTCTTAATGCTTCAAATAATTTTTTTAATAAAAACTAAAGAACAATGATTTTTAATACTTTGAATACTATCAGTTTAAATTATATTTTTAAAGGCTTGATAAAGATAATATATGTTTAGAATGAACTAAGTGAATGGACTGCAGTTTATTGTTATGTGTACCATTTTTAATTTGATTTTAATGAACATAGCAATTAAGCAATAATAATTTATATTTTATAAAATTTGAAAATTTTAATTGGTTATCTTAAAATTTATATTTTATGGGTTATGAACAATAAGGCAATTATAAAATTTGTAATTATCTGATTATTGTTGCTCCAAATCTCTAGAACCTCTTGTAGATAATTTCTACTTGCTTTAAAAAAATGTGAATTAATTCACCACTTTCCTTACATGCAAACCTCTTATCCTTAGATATTACCTAAGCAATATCTTAAATTGTAAAATATCTTGGTCTTGTTATTGACCTTTGCAAAACCTGGTCACACCATATAACAAAGACTCGGTGACAGCTGCATTCCATATCGGGTAATAAATAATTAAATTTAAAATATACTTTCTAGGTATCCTGGATTGGTGCATTCATGACATATTAAAAATAATATAATATTGTTTAGTTATATGCTAATGGATTTCTCAAGTAATCACACTCACCAGGCGATGCATGCGTTTCACGTTTTATTTTATGAGATTTCCATACAAAATATTTTTCAATTCAAATTTTAAGCTTGAGGCTCTGGATACATGCCCTTTTTTCCTCCCCCTAACACCAGCCCTGCTGAATTACAAGTCAAAATTGTACACAAAGAAAAAATAGCATTTTATCAAGCAGGTCGGTCGACCTGCAAGCGAAGCTTAAAAATAGAGTTCGTCGCGCCGATAATGGAACAACGGTCGACCGTACAATGCTTATTATACTCTGCACAACTAAATGGGGTTAAGTAGTATTCACAGCGGCCGGAGGGGCAATATAAATGCAAATATTTTTATGACTTCTAAATACCTATGCACATAGCTGTCAAATAAAGCAAAAACGAACATTCTGCATTGACCCAATTCTAAGGGTGTAAAAGTAGTCGATTTGACGAAAAATGGATAAATCTTTCAATCAAGGAAGGAAAAATTTGGATACAGATTTTTATCGGGGATGCCTAAGGAACAACAAAAAAAAAAAATTAAAAGAAACTCAAATTTGCCCCCCCCCCCCAAAAAAAAAAAAAAAAAAGGGCACAAATCTTAAATATGCATAAAACTCTTTTCTGATATAATTAATAAACGTATGCCAAAATTCTTGTAATTCCAGTTAATATAAAAATCTATAATTTTACGATTTCTAGCTTTTGTACTACAAACATTTTATAATTGTTAAAACCTCTTGGATTTCTTTTAGAACTATGTCAACAAATATTTATAAAATAAATTTTAACTTGTACTGATATTCCCCAAAAAAACTTTCAAAAGTAAAAAAACGCCAAGTTCAAAATTAGAATTATTCTTGCAACGCAACAAAAAATGCACTGTTATCAACATTATCCAAGTTTTTAATTTACGAGGTACTCCAACCATTTTCCTAAACTTCTCTGGTTTCTCCTTACTTATAATAAGTATTATCTTTGTAACGTTTTTGTTTCAATATCACTATCCAATAATTGGCGGTCGATATATACATATAATTATCTAAAATACACATATTAGGTGAACATCAATGTTAAAATCAGCCGCCAAGTATTGGTGAAACAAGAGAAGTTTAGGAAAATGGATAAAGTATCTTGTAAATTAAAAGCTTGGGTAATGTTGATATCAATGCATTTATTGAACAGGTTTTTCTTTCGTTGCAAAAATATAATACCGTCAAATGGGGTGAATAGAAACAAAAAGTGATAAAGTTATATTCGGTCTTGTAGTTTTTAGGAAAATTGGTTTAGGACACTTTTTTCTTTATCATACTCAAGTGTACGTAAACGACATTATACCTAATCTGTTATTTAGTTAAAATTATTTACTAATGCATTGATAACACGGTGATCTAAGATACAAGTTTGTTATTAGTTCTAATACGTGATAATACACATATTTTTTTCTGTATGATAAGACTGATTGATTATTATTATTTATTTTTTTTAATGTCCGTTGACTTCTTCAATTTAATAATTCGTAAGTATACATTTTTTATTTATTACAAGTTTTATTTTATTAATTTATAATTAAAAAATTGTTTTTTTTGGGGTGTATAGAAATAACGTAAAAATGCTACGAACTTATCAACATGATCCTCGAAGCAAAAAGTATATGAAACCAAATCAAAATTATCTCAAAAATGTTATTATGGCAATTAAAAGTAAACAGGTAACATACCGGGAAGCTCAGGAAATATATGGCATACATTATTCTGTACTCTACCTTCATGTTAAATTTATTATATTTAAGTTACAGTTTATGTTATATTCTTACCAGTTTATATTTGTTAAATTTTGTAGGTACTAATTTGTTTGCACCTAATTGTTAGTTCTTAATTGTAATTCTAATACTGAACAGAAAAGTATCCATGTTATATTGTTTAATTGCATCAAATGCATACTTATTGTTATATTGTAACGTATTGTATTTACCTACAGCAAAGAAACTGTGATAAATGAACAGAAAAGTATCTGTGTTAAATTGTTTAATTGTATCAAATGCATACTTATTGTTATATTGTAATTAATTAATTAAGTGTTGAATATTTAATAAATATTTTTAAAAATTTAATTATTTGTTTTTATTCACCTTCTATGAGTTTGAATCGCAAAAGTTGATAAAAAACAATACATGTTTCTTTTCACCCCATTCAACAGGTGAACTACAGTCGACACTACACCAATACTTTGACACTACTACTTATCTTTTTTTATGTAACACCGATGAAAATTTTAATTTTAATATTTCTTGAATATTCATAATAGAATTTAAAATAATGTATCATAATCCTAATACTCTGTATGTATGGTGTTTTGTTCATTGTTTAAATTTAGCAGTAATTGATGTTTGTGAAACAACTGTTGAAGTTCAAGATTTCTTTTGTCAAGAGCTTAGTATATTTAGCACAATAAAACGAACAGCTCAATATGTTTTTTTACAAAAAATCTATCTATCCTAAAGAATGCATTTGAAGGATACAACACTTTTTTAATACAAGATGGGCTAATCATAATTGTTATCTTGATATTTTGTTAGAAACATATAAAACAGTAACTATTTGAAACATAAAAATACACAATTTCAAACATTATGTATATTAATGTTTCAATTTCATTCAATTAAGAATTTAGTAGTTATTACATCAACCTCGTCACGTCGAACTCTAGGGCAGGTCACCGTCGAAAATGTGCAACGATAATTATCGCACAATGTTTGCCATAAAGTAGCAGCTTTACCACCGCTCAGATTTTAATAATTATATTTACGTATATTTTACAAAAACAGGGTTTTAGTTTGCTCCGCGGGTTTACTGCACCAAACACGATAACTCTCGAATCCAAGGTCGATTCGTCGGTTCGTTCATTGGTCAATCGGAATTTGGATTATTTATAATATTTCAGATTGTTATTCAATTAATTACATTAGGAAGTGGTAAGAATTATAATTGACAACAAACGTGTTTTAAATATGCTTTACATTCAACTCCTTTATGTTTAAAAAAAAAGTATTACTTAAATAATACTACATGGTAGATACGTACACAAAATAAAATTTCAGAGGGAGGGGGGTTATAAAATATAGCAATACAAGTTGGTACAGCAACATAATAAAACATTTTCTTCTTCCTTACTCATTATTTTTTAATGTGACAATTATTATGCTAAATATCAAAATTTTATGTATGTCATTTGTTGAAAAGTAAGTATTAAGAAATAATAATAATAATAAAAAAACTTTATAAAACTAAATAAAAACTATAAATAATAGTATGTGATATGAACATGGGTGTAGCAAGGGTGGGGCAGGGGGGGCACTTGCCCACCCCTGCGCCTCAAACTGAATTATATTTGTTTATACCAAACGTGTAAGTTTTACATTAAAATCAAAAATTAAATAAGATATAATTCTAAAAATAGTTTGACCGAGTGATATCTACACGTGTAATCGTTTTGACGTTTTATGTGTTATTCAATGGTCCATCTGTAGATTATTTGAATTACGAGTTTAACA